GACCAATCAGCTGTTTCAAACTTGAACGAAGTTTTCCTAACCTCACTGGAAGTGTTTCAACCTCAACAAATTTTACACACCCTTAGAAATAACATGCTAGGTTTTCCAGCATCAAAAAGGCTCTATAATCTTCTAGAATCAAAACTATTTAAGTAAGATATTAAAAACCAAACTACACTTTTACACATTCTGACATTTTAGAGGGCTTTACTAGATTATTATTTAAGTTCAGACTTCCAGGGGAGGTATGGTGAGTTGAAGCACAGTGAACAACCTGTGGAAAAGAGCAATAGCACTTAAGACTTATATACCGCTTTCACAGTGCTTTTACAGCCCTCTCTAAGCGGTTTACAAAGTCAGCATATTGACCCCAACAATCTGGTTCCTCATTTTACCCACCTCGGAAGAATGGAAGGCTGAGTCAGCCTTGAGCCTGGTGAGATTTGATCTGCCAAATTGCAGTCAGCAGTCAGCAGAAGTAGCCTGCAGTACTGCACTCTAACCACTGTGCCACCGCTGCTCTCCAAGGATCCTCTCTGGATAAGGAGAGGACAGGAGATTGCTCACATGTACTCCAAATGGCTGCTTCTCACAACAGTTTTTTCGTGCACTTGAACACTGGAAGATGATGATGATGGGATTAAGCATCTTGCTCACAACTTGGTGGAGACTTTTAAAGGACACTTAAAGTTCACAAAACTCACTTTCCAATCATTTTTGGAATTGCTCATTAACTACTTCTAGCTATTTCAACTCTTCAGAACAAGTTTGAAATTTGTTAGGTGACTCTGCCTTCAATACTGAACGAAATTTTAACATAACCTTAAGATTTTAAAGTATCTGAAATAAACAGCAAAAAGCTAAATAAAGTTTTGATCTTGGAAAGTTATAATGGACCAAATTAAATTGGTGCATTGAAATGTTTACAAGATGATTTTGGAATTAATCATAAAGAACAACCAACTTATCATGGAAAATATAACCTATTTGGGTTTTCAAGAGATATAAAAGTCAAGTTGCCTTTTGGAAAAAAACACCTTTGGAAGAACCATAACTGGATGATTGAGAATCTCCATAGACAAGTAGCCACCATATCAATGTCAATAATGATGTTTACTAGGTCCAAAAGATGTTATTGAAGAAATGACATAGAACAATTTTTTTCCAATAAGATAGAGATGATATTGAAAGTGGATTTTCAACCTTCAGTCCAAGAGAATGAGTTAGAAAAATGTTTCACTGGATTTACAAAAGAAACTTGGTAAGATTTTAAAATTTAAAAGGGAAATACAAATGACAAACCAAGAGAAAGAATTGGTTTAATTTAAACCAATTAAATTTAAATGTTTTTCTAAACTAAAGGAAATGAAGAGGAAGAGGAATGGTTAGCATTCATGTCCCACATGTGTTTTGGAAAATAATTTTTAAAGAATAATAATATCAACACTGAGGAACAACATACTCTAAGTCTCACCCAATCCTGTAGATAACTTCATGAAACAAAAGACCTTTGCCCATCTCATCTTCCAGCTGTGTTTAGTCTGAAGAATAAATAAAACGGTGTGGTCCTTGGTGCTATCTGAGCTTGGTTGTTTTGTTGCAGACATTTCATTATCCAACTAGGTAACATCATCAGTGCTAGAAGGGAATGGTGTTCGCTCTGTTTATATGCAAGTGGCTTGCTCTGTCAGTGTTGGTGGGATTGTTCTTGATGGTTCCTTGATTGTTCTGGTATTAATCTCTGCTTATCTGGGTGTTGATTGATGTGAGGAGGCATTTATTTCTTTTTCGTTTTCTGATTGTTTCTTTTCAATGGTATGTAGATGATGTTTATCTCTATGTGCCTGTTGATGGCTGATTTGTCTGAGTGTCAGGCCTCCAAGAATTCTCTAGCATTTTTGGACTTAATTTAGGATGCTCACAGCTTTCCAATTGAAACTATGGTTAAGATGTTCATCTGTTGTGTAATTAAGGAATTTTTATCATGTCTATGCCTATTTCTAATGAACAAAACAGTGGGAATATGGAACTTACTTCTACTGCAAGGTTGCTTTAACTTCTCTACCTTCAGTGCAAACTGAAAAATAATATATGAAATATCAAAGGTAGCTGTTGTTAAGAACTACAAGATTTGCAGTTTCTAGTTTAAAAGCCAGATATAATTTAAAAGCCTGCATGCCAAGTAGCACTGGATAAGAATTTCAATAAAATTCAGCAACTACAATGTAGGAATGGCACATTCTTCAATTAGATTAGGAACTTAAGGATTGTGCAAGCATAAAACAAACAAACCTGTTGGGCAGTTTTGTGCTACAGGGCTTGGCAACTGTGAGTTACATATCAAATTTCCTGATATTTCACCAGCACTGTCTCTGAAAACGCCAACCACAGTAGGCCCAAAATGTCAGGAAATCTGTTCCCTAGCCTAGACCACAGTCATTAAAGCAGGAGGGAAAATAAATTCTACATCGGGAGATGAGGAGAATAAAGGCTCAAGGCAGCTTTACATTTAAATGATTCACATTAAGGGGACAATTTTCATCAGCGAAGAAACTTATTACTCAGGGCACAAAAAATTGTATTCCATTAAGATGTGTGAGAAACATATTTCCTCCTCCCTTTTCACAAAGCCATCTGAACTTGTTTCCTCCTATTACTATTTTTTTTTAAATGTCTAGAAAAGCGACTCACCCTTACTACTATTGTCGTCATCCTTTATTCCCCTCCTAAGTAAGATTATCTAAATCCAATACATTTCTCCCCGTATCTCACTACATCTATCTGCACAAGTCAATAACTCATGATATGCAGAATTAGCCCAATATGGGAGATTCACACCCATCAATGATGCAGAAGCATACCATTTTTCTTTGGTTTACATATCTTTTTCAAAAAGCATGCAGTAAACTATTGAGAAGAGTGTGTGTTGTGCCAACATTGCCATTGTGATTTCAATTTAAATTTGACTTGGGGAACCTTAATAGTTAGCCAATCAGAAAAGTATCAAACAGGAAATCAAGAAAGCTATAATAAATGAGCAAGAATATGTTCTTAGTAGTCTAATATAAGCAACAGCATTTGTATTTTTCAGTCTCTCCCATCCCGTATATGAATGTATATTCTCCATGCATGGAAGACCACTCATACATTTCAACTTCTTCCCCTCCTTTTCACCATTCCCATGTCCCCACACAAGGAAGAACTATATTCTCTCCTAAGCTTCAGCTTCTTAGCTATTCTTTTCCTACACAAAAAGTATGTGAGATACTAAACCTCTGGCCCCTTATCATGAGCTCAGTATCTCTCCACTGCTCTTCCCAATACCATTTCCCACAATACAGCTAGGTTTACATCAAAGTACTTATTTGTATCCCATCTTTATTACTTTAACAAATAACTCAATGCAAATTATCACACCTTCTTCCTCCTAATTTCCCAATAACCACCCTGTGAGGTGGGTTTTGGCCACCCAAAATAATCAATACAGTCTAGCACACTCAGCTGATTCCCATAGTAGGCTGAAGTTCACACTACACAATTCTATTTCACTTTGCCTAAAAACACAATAAATATATTTGCTTGGGCTAGCCTCATACTTCTCACCTCCCTATTTCTGTAATAGAGGAGGGGGATTTGGTCCCTTCCCCATTTACACAGGGTATTACTTCCTCCTCCCTTCTTGAAGGGATGAGGAGACTTTCTCCACCAACCACACCAGGGACCCTCTTGCCCAATCACTGTATAAGTACCTACTCCAACTCTTCAGAGAGCTTCTCCAACTCCGCCCCCCCATGAATGTATGAGGGATGCTCCCCCTCCCCTCATCTTGAGGGCAGACATTTTCCCTCCTCCCAAAAATGTACAAGAGCCCCCCCCTCACATTCATTAACTTGAGGGGAGATTTCCCCCATAATGTAGGAGCCTCCCCACCCCTCATTGTCTTGAGGGAGACATTTTCCTTCCCCTCAATAATGTACAAGACCCCCCCTCCCCTATCTTGAAGGGGAGATTTTCCCTCCCCAATAATGTGGAAGGGTCCCCCCCTCCCCTTCTTGTCTTGAGTGGGACATTTCCTTCCCTCCAAAAAAAGTATGAGGGCCCCCCTTCCCTCATTAACTTGAGGGGGGCAATTTCACTCCCCCCAATAATGTATGAGAGCACCTCCCCTCATTATCTTCCAGAGATTCCTCGCCCTCCCAATAACGTAGGAGGGGTACTTCATTAACAGGCAGGGAGGCAGTTTCCCTCCCCATTATCTTGGGGGGAGGACAATGACATTTTCCCTCCCCACAAAAATGTACAAGCAGAGCCCACCCCACCCCACCCCGTCCATTAACTTGAGGGGAGATTTTCCCTTCCAATGTGAAGCCTCCTTCCCCTCATCTTGAGGGGGACATTTCCCTCCCCCAAATCAAGCATGAGGAGCCCCCTCCCCTCATTATCTTGAGGGGACATTTCCCTCCCCCCAATAACGTATGAGGAGCCCCCCTCCCCTCATTACCTTGAGGGGGACATTTCCCTCCCCCCAATAACGTATGAGGAGCCCCCCTCCCCTCATTACCTTGAGGGGGACATTTCCCTCCCCCCCAATGTATGAGGAGCCCCCTCCCCTCATTACCTTGGGGGGGACATTTCCCTCCCCAAATAACGTATGATGAGCCCCCCTCCCCTCATTACCTTGAGGGGGTCATTTCCCTCCCCCCCAATAACATATGAGGAGCATTTCCCTCCCCCCCAATAACGTATGAGGAGCCCCCTCCCCTCATTACCTTGAGGGGGACATTTCCCTCCCCCCAATAACGTATGAGGCGCCCCCTCCCCTCATTACCTTGAGGGGACATTTCCCTCCCCCCAATAACGTATGAGGCGCCCCCTCCCCTCTATCTTGAAGGGGGACATTTCCCTCCTCCCGAGTAACGAACGAGGGAACAAACCCACCCCCTTCATTAACGCGAGGGAGGCCTGGAGCCCCCCTCAGACCAGCCCTTTTTCTGCCCTACCTGCTGCCGAGGCGCCTCTGAGGGCGCAGAGCAAGGAGCCCACCGTCAGTAGCACGAGCCCGGCCGCCATGACCGCCCCGCCGCCCGATGCCTAGCACAGTTTCACACGTCGGAGCCGGTCTCGCTTCGTCTGCCTCAGGCGCTTATAGCCCTTTTCAAGGGGGACGAAAGGGGAGAGCCCACCAGGCGGCAAAGCCAATAGCGGACCAGCACGAGGAGCCCCCGACTTCACTATTGGCTCAAATCCCTTGGAGTGACACGAAGGCTTGTCCACTCAGAATTCGGGAGCGCGGCGGGATTCGAAAGGGCGGGGATTAAAGTGGGAAAGTGGGCGAGAACGGCTTTAAAATGATAGTCATGGGTGGCAGCCAATCACGGATGACGAAAGCGATCGACCCGGCGGATGATTGGACGCTGGCGGAGGTGAAGCTTGAGAGAAGCGATTGTGTGGTATATGGGGCAACCGAAGAAGAGCGGCGCAGGCGGAAGAGACCAGAAAAAAATGAGACTGAGAAGGAAAAGCTCTCGGGAAAGAGCGGGCCTTAAGCCTTTGTAACGTTCATGATTTGGCGAGACAAACTACTGACCTCTACGCTATCACGTACGCCAATAGGCGGTCGCAATAGCAACCGCCAATCAGGTTCCTGAGCATTCTCCAAGCACTGACCAATCAGAACATGACGTCTGCACAATGATAGCAACCCAAGCCAATCAACGTTGCCCTCTTAAAAAAAGTACGCCCATACAGACTACTCCCGCCTATCCATGGATGTTGATGGCCAAGCACAAGGCGAGGAAAGAGCGGCTCCGCCCACTCTCCGCCCCTTCCCTGTTTACTATGGGTCGCGCAGAAGGACACGCGATTGTTAAAGGCGGTGCGTTGACCTCGCTGGAGGTTATTAAGCAGGAGGGCGCCGGGCGGGGCGGTTACGTAATAATCCTTGTCCTGGCTGCATGGAAATTATGGTGCAATTAATCATTATGAAATCACACTTCGATTAAATTCATAAAAGCAGTTTATGCCGATGAATAGCAAAGGAATAGGTTTTGGACGCCTAGAAAAAGCACAATGCTCAGTAACCACGAAGCTGAATAGAATAGAATAGAATAGAATACAATACAATACAATACAATACAATACAATACAATACAATACAATACAATACAATACAATACAATACAATACAATAGAATTTTTTATTGGCCAAGTGTGATTGTACACACAAGGAATTTGTCTTGGTGCATACACTCTCGGTGTACGTAAAAGAAAAGATACGTTCAACAAGAATCATAAGATACAACACTTAATGATAGTCATAGGTTACAAATATCAATATAAATCATAAGGATACAAGCAACAAAATTACAGTCATACAGTAATAAGTGGAAGGAGATGGGTGGTGGGAACGATGAGAAGATTAATAGTAGTGCAGACTTAGTGAATAGTTTGACAGTGTTGAGGCAGTGGTGCGTTGCTCCCAGTTCATACCGGTTCGCAAGAAACGGTAGTAAAAGTTTGTAGTAGTTCGGAGAACCAGTAATAACATTGGCTGGCCATGCCCCCAAACTGGTCCCGGGCCTGGTTGCCGCTCCCTTACCCCACCCACCTCATCAGAGGCTTTTTTTTTTTTAGTTTTAAAAGCATTTTTTCAACAACCTCTTCAGCCTAATAAATGCTTTTAAAAGTAAAAAAAAAAAGCCTCTGAGGATCACGTGGCTCAGCTAGGATTGTCAGAGGCTTCTGAAAGCATTTTTTCTGCAACATCTTTGGCTGAAGAGGCTGTAGAAAAAAAAAATGCCTTTAAAAGCCTCTGGCGATCCCAGCTGAGTTGCCTGATTGTCAGAGGCTCCTAAAAGCATTTTTTTCCACAACCTCTTAACGTTGTAGAAAAAATGCTTTTAAAAGTAAAAAAAAAAAAAAGTGGCCACGCCCACCCAAATTACCCCTCCAAGCCATGCCCACAAAATAAGCCACGCCCACAGAACCGGTAGTAAAAAATTTTAGAACCCACCCCTGTGTTGAAGGAATTATTTGTTTAGCAGAGTGATGGCATTCGGGAAAAACCTGTTCTTGTGTCTAGTTGTTCTGATGTGCAGTGCTCTATAGCGTCGTTTTGAGGTTTAAATTTAAATCAGTTTAAAAGGAATTACGGTTTCATAAACCAACTCAGTCTTAGAAAAGTGTAAAAACAAAACAAAACAAAAGACGCATCCAAGAAGGGGAAATACACCGTTCCAGATAAGTGCTGTCCAGTCTCTATTTAAATAACTCCAGTGATGGAGCAGCATCCACAACTTCTGAAGACAATCCATTCCACTGATTAATTGTTCTCAGTTAATTTCAATCTCAAACCTTTATTGTCCCCCATCTATTCTCTGCCTCCCAAGTCCCAGCTGATTGGGAGGAAATGGGGATTTTGCAGTAACCTTCCCCTGGAGTGGGGTGGGAATGGAGATTTTACAGTATCCTTCCACTGCCACACCCATCAAGCCATGCCATGCCCACCAAGACATGCCACGCCCATCAAGCCACACCCACAGAACTGGTAGTAAAAAAAAATTGAAACCCACCACTCGTTCGCTGCCTTATAACACCAAATGGTTTGTACTGAGGATCTTTCCCTAAAGCACTGCTAGAACTGGGAAATAAATGTTTTTGTTTCCCGTTATGAAAAAGAGTTGTGCAAATCAATAGCAATAAAATAAAAATGGTCTTGATATACAGGTAGTCCTCAACTTACGACAATTCACTTAGTGATCATTTAAAGTTACAACAGCACTGAAAAAAGTGACTTACTTATTTTTCACACTTACGACCATTGCAGCATCCCCCCCATGGTCACATGATCAAAATTCAGCCGCTTGGCAACTGACTCGTGTTTATGACCGTTGCAGTGTCCTGGTCGTGTGATCCCCTTTTGCGACCACCTGACAAGCAAAGTCAATGGGGAAGCCAGTTTCATTTAACAACCGTGTCACTAACTTAACAACTGCAGTGATTCACTGCGGCATGAAATGTTGCAAAATGGGGCAAAAGTCACTTAACAAATGTTTCACTTAGCAACACAAATTTGGGGCTCAATTGTGGCCCTAAGTCGTGGATTCCCTGTACAAACAGGGCTTAATTTTGTGCAGAAATATATATAACCTGACATGAGTTGGCTTAAACTCTTTAACTTCACTGAGAGGCAAAGGGAATAAAAGCTCTTGCGTGCTTTTCTTGCAAACAAGATTTGGATTCCCTCATGAACTGGTCAGTCTCTGGAAGCAGTCCCTGTGAGAGGAGGTGGGTAGGGATAGACAGCTCCTAAACACAGAAGCTCTCTGAAATGTCAGTCGTTTGAGAGCCTAAGAGTCTCCTGCTTGAACAGGGGTTGGTCTAGAACAGTGGTCACCAACTGGTGGTCCGTGGACCATTGGTGGTCCGCGAGAAAATTTTGGTGGTCCACAGAAAAACTATTTGCATTTTTTATATTGCACTAAATCAGGGGTCCTCAAACTATGGCCCTTGGGATGGCTACATGCAATGAACATTTGTGTTGCTGCAGAGAGTCTCTCCTTCGGGGTCTTACTGTGCGAGTTGGAGGGGGGCAGAAATTCCGACTCGGGGTCTGCTTCAGCCTCCTGGTGTGGGGCTTTGGGCGAAGGCTGGAGGGAAGCACCGCTGGTGGCGAAGAGCCGGAGGGCCTCGATCCAGTGGGACTGCCTCATGGCCTGGAACTGGCTGACCATCTCAGCCTGCTGAGCCTCCAGGCGCCAGTACCTGGCCTTGCACTCCCGCAGGTCTTCCCTCTGCTTGGAAAGCCTATGCTCCTAGTCCTCAGTGAGGTGCTTCTGCTGAGCCTCCTCACCGATATCCAATTTGAACTGAGCTCTTTTGCCAACTCTTTCTCGTGGTGGCTGCTTAGCTCCAACAACTGCTTCCTGTTGGGGCCCTGAGGAACCCGGGTGGGGAGGGGAAGAGTGGCTGGGAGGGGAGGGGCGAGTAGAGGCCGTCGTGGCGCCCCTTGATGTGAGTGACATTGAGTTGGCCACGCCCACCCAGTCACATAACCACCTAGCCACGCCCACCCAGCCAGTTATTAGGCAGATCATATTAGTGGTCCGCGGGATTTAAAATTATGAATTTAGTGGTCCCCGAGATCCGAAAGATTGAGGACCCCTGGACTAGATGACCTTCATAGTCCCTTCCAACTCTGGCATTTTATGCTGCAAGCATTGCAAAATGCACACATCCCTGCCAAGGCTTACTGTAAGTAGCTCAGTCTCTCAGAGACCTCGCTCTCTGCAAACATGTGCCTTTCATGCCACATAAAATCATAGCTGTTGGTGGCAATATACCTGGATATCATAAGCCTTGGTGTCTTAATCCTTCAAAAGGGGGAAATTCTTCAAAAACCTCCTTCAAACACGTTTGGTTAACACCTGTTGCCCACATTCCAAATACTGTATTCCAGGGATGGGATTCAAAAATTTTAGCAACCAATTCTCTGCCCGGTTACTGGGTGGGCATGGCCTACTTGGATACCTGCACAACAGTGGGGGGGGGGTGTTTTCACCCTCCTCAAGCTCCGGAGGCTTTCCTCGAGCCTCTGGGAGGGTGAAAATGGCCTCCCTCGGGCTCTGGAGGCCCTCCGGAAACCAGATACAGGCCCGTTTCTGGACTTCCGTAACTTCCGGGAGGCCCGTTTTTCACCCTCCCAGAGTCTCCACGCGGGCGCTGCACTTATCTGGCATCAAAATGGAGACTCCTGGGAAGGGAGGGGTAGGCGGGGCCAGCCAGTCCTTGCAACTACCGGTTCGGCGAACCGGATGTAAAATTAGCATCCGATTCGCCCAAACCGGCTGAATCCCACCCCGGCTGTATTCCCATCTTAATTGCACTTTCCTTAAGGCTCATAAGCCTTAAGGAAATGGAGGAGGGGAGAAACTTCAATACAAAACAATATTATCCTCAGTGTCTACAAGAGGGTAATTGCTTTGCCTCTTACCTAAAACTGTGAACGGTTCTAATGGTTTAATATTTTACTTGTACCAACAGAAGAAATCCCTCTTAACAGAAATCTGAACCGATCACTTCCAGTCACATCAGGAATCAGGTGAAGAGTTACAGAAGCTCAGCTAGGAGTGTCCATCCTTCAAAACTTTTTAAAGATTTGTGGATTTGAAGTCCACAAGTCTTAAAGTGTTTGTGCTAAGCATTCAGGTCCGTTCTCCAGCCGACTTTCCATTTTCTCTGAATTTATCGCTGTTATTTCTTCTTTGCCAATCTTCCCCTTCTCCACTATGGATCTGTAAACCTCAAAAAAGTCGGACCATTCAGAGGCTGCATTACCCCAGGTCAGCACATGACCAGATTTTTTTCTGCACACCATAGCAAAATGTTCAGAGAAGTGGAAAATGTATTCAGATTCTAGCTGTTGCCAAGATGCTGGATGGACATTTTTCAAATGTATTTGTGTATTAGTGTTGTGGCCCGCCAGTAGCCTGTGCGGATTGTGGCTGATCCCGACGACGAGGAGGCTGGTGTGGTGTCGCGCCAGCAGCCTGCGCAGCCGGCGCTCGCGTTGGACAGCGAGGAGGCCGAAGAGGATGTGATGCCAGAGGCAGAGACTCAGCCAGGGCCTTCAGAACCTCCAGAGGCTCCTTCCAGTGGAGAGAGCGAAGTGGAGGAGCCTCTTCTCAATGCTCGGGCACGCAGGGCTGCCAAAAGGCTGCCCCTCAGGAGGAGGTCTACTCGAGAGTAGGGCTTGAGGATAATTGGCCATTCCCTTAGCCTATTTAAGCCACACGCAGCTAGTGCTTTCTTGCTAGAAACAACGTCTCATTACTACAGAGCATCTTGGAGAGCGAGCAATTTCTCATATCTGGTTTTCTGGGCTGGTTGCCAACCTTTGTCAGACTTTGTTTTTAATAACTTTGATAAGGACCCTTTGCACGGGAAGCCTGCAGTCTTGAAAGGGATTTGTTTGGAATTAAACAGTGTTTGCGAAGCTTGGTATGTGTCACATTCTCTGGGAATCCAAAGCTGGGGCAGAACAATTAGAAGCCACTTTCACCTAGTGGTTAGGGCACTAGGCTAGGAACCAGGCGATTTAGGTTTAGATATGAAAACCATCTGGATGACTTTGGATCGATCCCCAGAAGACGGTGAGTTCTAGTCCCACCTTAAGCATGAAAGCCAGCTGGGTGATTTTGGGCCAGTCTCAGCCCAACTCCCCTCTCCGGGTTGTTGTTTTGGGGAAAATAGGAGGAGGAAGGTGTGTTAGATGAGTTTGCCAGCCTGAGTTATTTGTAAAAATAATTGTGGGACATAAATAAACGTGTAATCCTGCGGTGACAGTTCAGCATCGATGGGTGGACTGAGCAAGATATTTCCAGCTTTTTTCCATCTCGGTGAAACTCAGCAATGTTCACTTCTGCATAAAGGAAACTTCATTATACTCATTATAGTCTCCATTGGTATTGAAGCTTCCTGCATCGCAAATGCCCTCCAAAAATACAGGTAGTCCTCGACTTATAACAGTTCTTTTAGTGACTGTTTGAAGTGACATCATCATTGAAAAAAATAACTTATGACCATTTTCCACACTTACGACCGCCACATCCTTATAGTCATACGATCAAAATTCAGACACTTGGCAACTGACTCCTATTTATAATCATTGCAGTGTCCTGGGGCCTTGTGTGATCCACTTTTGCGACCTCCTGACGAGCGAAGTCAATGGAAAAAAACCAGGTTCACTTAAGAACCGTGTTACTAATTTAACAAGCTCACCGATTCGCCTAACAACTGTGGGAAGTAAGATCGTAAAATGGAGCAAAACTCACTTAACAAATGTCTCAAATTTGTCAAGTTTGGGTTCAAGGGTGGTCGTAAATTGAGGATTACCTGTAGTTAATTTCATGTGGTTGAGAAATATCAAAAAAGCTTGCAGGCACCCAAGTCCAGTGGTGAGACTTGGTGGCCTTCCAAGATTTTAGGCTTTTGAGAGACTAGGCTTAGGGTCCAACATCCACTCTTTCAGTTTTAAGCTGGCAAAACCTCTTCGCTCACAACGGATTCTCTACTATCGTTTTAGAACTATTTTCCCTCCCAGCCTCGAGGTTGCAATGCTGCAGAACAGGACGAAAAAAAACCCCACTTCCTTTCAAAATCCTTTTATTAAATAGCTTCAAATCCAGAACAAAAAAAACAAGAAAAAAGCAAAAAATATATATCCCATCCCTTGCCAACCCATTCCCCCCCCCCAATTCTACAAAACAGTCGATTTTTACCCATTAGATTCCCCCTGCTTCCTAATAGCCCCATCCCTAACCCCAGGTGCAAATTCTAGCAAATTCCACCCTAGAGAAAAGGGGCATAATCTCACAAAATCAGGAAAGCGACATCAAAGGCAAGCAAGAGTGGATTTCCATTCAGTGCTCAGTGAGACACGGGGACCCGGGTAAAAATAAATTAAAAAGACACCCCCCCCTCCCTATTTGCTTGTGAAAAGGAAAGCTTGGATTTAGCAAAGTCCTTTTTTTACAGCAGAGAGTGGAGGCCATTTTGAAGTGGGCAATTTCCCCCCCCCTTCTAAAAGATGGATGTCAAATCCTTGGGGAAGGAATCAGGGGGGGAGGAAGCATGAGCTCAAAAGGAATACAATTTCAAAAGGAAGGAATGCAGGAGAGAATGAGAGAGAGAGAGAGAGAGAGCAGATTCCATACAACTTGCTGGTGCTGGCAGATTTATTTATTTTAGAACCACCTTCCTGGCTAAGTCAGGTGTGACGTTGTCCTGCAATGGGAGTCATGAAAGTGAGCAACAGAACCTGGCAAAGAGATGCCCTTGGGGTGGGATCTTATCTCCTAGGGCAGCGTTTCCCCAAAACCACGGGAACGTTTAAAGACGTGTGGACTTCAACTCCCAGAATTCCCATGCTGACTGGGGAATTCTGGGAGTTGAAGTCCAACATGCCTTAAAAATTTCCCAAGGTTGGGAAAACACCATCCTAAGGCGTCTTACCTCTTCTGGATGCTATTTTCTGTGCTAAGTTCCTGTTGAGAGAGACTTCAAACGCAAAAGTACAGCAGTTACTTTTAGAACAGTGTTTCTCAACCTTGGAAGCTTGAAGATGGGTGGACTTCTACTCCCAGAATCCTTCTGGGAGTTGAAGTCCACCCATCTTCAAGCTTCCAAGGTTGAGAAACACTGTTTTAGAAGATATGGGAGAACTTTGTGGGAGCCCTATAGATGGGGCTCCCTTAGTGCTGAGGGACAGCTGCGCTGGGTGCTTGCATTCCTAGAACACCTTACAATTTTGCATGGGCTATTTTGGAACGGACCACTCTTGAGTCTTGGTAGACCGGGCCCAGTTCCTCCTGGAGAACATGATGGGGAAGGCTGTGTGGTCCAGCCGTGGCTGCCGTTAGGAAACTAAGGAGACCGTCCTAGATGCTGAATTCCTGTCAGGTGCATCTTGAGATCATTCATCTGACACTGCATTGAGTCGGCCTCCCTTCGCAAGAGAGGGGAAAAGTCTCTCTTCCACATGCAATAGGCCAAATGTGCTTTAAGATGACCCGATAACCCAGATCATGGCATATTCCCTGCAATCCGAGAACTACATCGCATTTGTGATTACAAGACTTGAATGGGAGGGGCCTTGATTTGGCAACAGCCATCTTGGCCCTTGAACCCAAGCAAGGAATGGCTGGATTAGAATATGTGGAGAAGCCAGGGGACATCCCCCCCCCATCTCTACAAAGGATCTCATTCCATCCAAAACTTAAAACCGTGTTTGTTTTAGCTGGATCTTCCTCAATGATGAGGATGGACGTGGCATGGGGGAACCAGAGAATCGGTTGCCACATGGGACTGGTTTGAGGCTCTGAAGGTGGTTTATGGCCCTCAGGACTAGCCTGCAGTTGGTCGCTTTTGTGTAATCTGAAGAGGTGAAGCAGGACAATTTGATGGTGGAAACCATATTAAGGCTTTCTTTAGGTACTATAAGTTTGTGAGGCCGAGACAATCATCACTTCCGCTTTCTCCTACTAGGAAGACTTCCCATTGAGAAAAGATTTCCAATGGGGAGGTGGGTTTGATGTGGCTTCTTTTGGGGTCTCTGTTCTTCCCCAGAGCTGCCTCCGATTTGGAGTCTAAGTGAGGTAGCAATGGAAAGGAATGGGAATCCTAGCTTGTTCTGTTTGAGCTCCAAGTTTGGCGATTTAGTTGCAAACGTTTCGTCCCCATTTGAGGAGATAATCTTCAATGCGCACTGACGATGTCTCCTTGAATGGGGACGAGACATTTGCAACCAAATTGCCAAGCTCGGAGCTCAAACCAACAACATAACTACCACCCCGAGCTACTAATATTCAAAGACATTTCAATCATAGCTTGTCCTGCTACCCTTGCTTTCATATGCTGTTTACTGTTTTACTTCTATGCCTCCCATTCCTGAAAGCTCTGGGATGGCTTGTTTTTCCCTCAAGCAGGCCAAAGGAGATCTTCAACTATCGTGGTTTGTTAGCGGTTATGCTATTTACCAAGGCCTCTGGCTGAGATTTGAAGCCTTCAGGCTAGCAGCTACGAGGGGATCTCAGCTAGCTTGTTCACCCCATCAGAATTTCCTATATTCTGGAGGGGTGAGCTGAGCACGTTCTCTGGTCCAGAGGATGGAAGTCTTGGTAGATACTAAAGTGACCTCTGTGATTATGGCTATGGGCCACACACTCTGGCCCGTAGGATCTCCACCCATCAGAGGGGAGAGTAACTGGTCTAAAGCAGGATGTCCGGTGGGCAGGAAGTAGTCACCCCCAACTCAGCATCAAAGACTCTGTTGAAGGGAAGTCGGGAGGAGGTGGGTTGGCTGTTTTTTTTTTCCCCCTACATTAAAAACCTCTGCCACCAGTGGGTCCATTTAGAGCAGGGGGTCTCCAAACCTGGCAACTTTTAAGACTTGTGGACTTCAACTGCCAGGCTGGCTGGGGAATTCTGGAAATTCAAATCCACAAGTCTTATTAAAGTTTGCCAAGTTTGGAGATCCCTGTGTTAAAGAGTGTCTTCAGTCTTTTAGAACTGGGGTCTTTCAGATTTTTCTGAGCAGATGTGGAACATCTGAGGGAATTTCTGAGGGAATTCAAGGATTGGCTGCTGGCCTTGTTAATCCACTCTTTTACCTTCTCTCTCTGGGTTCAAGGGGAGACATCCAGGCTGGACAGAGTCTCTTTCTCCTATCAGTGACTTGTCTTGTCAACGTGGCCTGGGGTCTTCTCTTTATACTGAAACCAGGAGTGGGAGCCCTGTAGGAGAAGGGGAAGACCAAAGGCCTTTCTCTTCCATGCTTCCGCCCCACAATTTGCCCTGGCTGAAGGACCCCATGCTTGGCTGTAGGTATGGGCCTATTCAGTCAGAGCTGTGGCCTCCTACAGAACTACGTAACTTTTGCTGGAGATACCTGGAAAAAAGGGGAGGGAGGTGAGCTTCAGAAGGAGATGCTACTTGGTGAAGCTGGTATAGAAGGTATATATTTATTCTACCTTCTGTCCATTCTGGTGCCTGTCCCACATCAAGCAATGAGCTCTCTAGGAACTGAGGTGCATAGTTTTTTGGCTCTGTTTTAGCTCTACGCCAAAGCGACAATGCACAACCGACAGCCCAATTCCTCCTTCACTCCAGGAACCCCACAGACAGTGCCTTGCTCTCCGTTCCTTTGCTCGCTGGGGAGTTGGGGCCTCACCCCGAAAGGAAGTCAAGCCAAGGAAAGCAGAAAGAAAGCAGCTAAAACCATCATGGAGGCCATCTTGGTCAAATGGAAGTTTGGTGGAGCGCCGGAACCGAGACCCCTGTGGTCTGGAGAGAATTGGCTCCAGAATTGGCTCAAGGAAGGAACTGTCTTTCTCCCATGAAAAAAACTTCCTTGTCTCCAGAGCGAACCAGAAGGAAATACCCACTTCACAATACCTGCTTCTACTATACAAACACAGGGCTGGCCAATAATGTCACCCCAACCTGCCTGCTTACAGTTAGGAAATCCTCGCTAGAAATTCTCCCCAAATCTCTTGGCCTGCATTTTTTTTTTTTTGCTTTTTTTTTTTGTTTGTTAAAGGAAAAACCACCCACGTCACCAAAAGCTGTTCCAAACCTCGCACTCGGTTGCTGCCTCCTGAAAGGGACCGTCTGCTTCCTTGGTGTTGGGCCCCGAAACTCCCCGCCGAGACGGCCAGAGCAACAGCTCGGGATGAATCAGGAGTCGCTTCCATCCACCCAAATCCTCCCCGAATAAAAGGAAATTAAAAAATAAAAATTCGAAGCCCAAAAAACACACAGCACTTGAAAGCCCCCTGGGAGATCTCCCACCCCCTCCCCAGTCAAGCAGAAGCCGAGTCTTCCTTTTGAGGTAGAGTTTTTTGGGTCCTTTTGTCTCAGGGCCGAACGGGGTTTTCCAGGTCTCAGCCGGTTGCATCCTGGGTTCAAGTATGAGTCAGGTAATTTATTGCTACTATCAGGTTCAGCAGCAGGAGGCAGCGGTGGAGGGAGGGGGAGAGGGGGAGAAGGAAGTGGGGGCGGCGGAAGAAGGGGGACGGGGCAGGGAATCCCTCGTCAAGACTCCTCGTTGCCAGAGTCGTCGTCGTCCCCGTAGCAGCTTTCCACCTCGTCGTCCATCTCGTCGTCTTCGTAATAGTCGTCGTAGAAGAGGTCGGAGCCTTCGTCTGGGGCGGGCGTCTTGGTCTTGACGCAATACTCCGCTAACGTGGTGGGGACTTTGACTCCGTCCCTTTCAGCATCCACCTTGGTTCCCAGCACTTGTTTCCTGGAAAGGGAGAAGGTCATTTATAAGAGCCATGGTTAGAATGAGTTGGGATTAATGACTGTTTGAAGTGACCACGGCACTGGAAAAAAAAAGTGATTTTAGGATCGTTTCTCACACTTACGACCCTTACAGCATCTCCCATGGTCACATGATCAAAATTCAAAGGGTTTGGCAACCGGCTCATATTGATGACGGTTGCAGAGTACCCCGAGGGGATCACGGGATCCCCTTTTGAGACCTTCTGATGAGCAAAGTCAAGGGGGATTGCCAGATTCACTCAACAACTGGGTTTACTGTTTTAACAACTGCAGGGATTCGGTTAACAAACGTAGCAAGAAAAATTCGTAAAATGGGGGAAAGCTCACTTAATAACATAAATTCTAAGCTCCATTGCGGTCGTAAGTGGAGGACTGCCTGTATTGCAGGCTGACTCTGCATTTCTACTGTCCCAGCAGTTCGATCCTGACCGGCTCAAGGTTGACTCAGCCTTCCATCCTTCCGAGGTCAGTAAAATGAGGACTCAAATTGTTGGGGGCAATAGGCTGACTCTGTAAACCGCTTAGAGAGGGCTGGGAAGTGTTATGTAGCGCTATATAAGTCTCGGTCAGTGATGACGAACCTTTTCGGCACCGAGTGCACAAACTGGAACGTGCGTGCATGTACAGGCGCCGGAGCGTCACAAATCCGAAGACCAGGCCTTTTTTGTTGTTGTTGTTTTTTGGGCCAAAAGGGTGCTAAACTGCAAATGACATATGATTTGAACAAAGATATATGATTTGTAATCCAGGGTTTTTATCTGGCATTCTGCCCAACCACATCTTAGTCGACAAACCACGATTAGCAAACGTCACAACGTGGCACAGAATGAACTGGGACAGTATCTGTGAGCAGAGACTGCCCCCAAGGCAACTGTAGGGATGCACAGCATACAGGTAAGTCCTCAATTTATGTTCTGCCCCAGCTACGGACCCAAAGAACGCAGCACACACAAAGTCTGTACAAACCTTAGTTTACTAAATAAACCAGTTTTTTACAACAACGGCTTTTAATTAACTACATTAACAGCCGCCAAGAATTCGAAGAATAATACTGAAAGCTTACTGTGGTTGACAGAATGCCCAGAAGCAATTTGCAGGAAGCTGATAAGCAAGACAAGACACGAAGGTATGTGAACTAAGTTGTTCCCTGCAAATTGCTTCAGTTGGCATTCCTCCTTAAAGAGGCTAAGGGAGTGGCCAATTAGCCCCAAGCCTTACTCTCGAGGAGACCTCCTTCTGAGGAGCCACTCCTGTCTTTTGGCAGCTCTGCACACCCGTACATCGAGAAGAGGCTCCTCCTCTTCGTCCTCTTCACTTAAGGGAGCTTCTGGAGGTTCTGAAGGCCCTGGCTGAATCCCCGCCTCTGGCACAACATCTTCTCCAGCCTCCTCATTGTCTGACTCGAGCGCCAGCTGCACAGGCTGCTGGCCCAGCACCACACCAGCCTCCTTGCTGTATGAATCAGCTACTAGCTGCACAGGCCGCGTACGGCCACAACAATTTATGACCGATTATTTAGCAACTGTACAAAGTTATGGCAGACACCCCAAAAGGTACTTATGGCCCATTGCTGAAGTTTCGGTAGCCCCACCCCTCGGGGTCACGTGGATGTATTTTGGGTGCTTAGCAATGGGCCTGCATTGACAAGGTCCCACAATTGTATCATCGCGATTTAGTTTTTGCTGAAAATCAGGGTTTGTTTCTGGTTTTCAGTAAAAATGTCTCAGTGGCAAACAATGGGTTCATTTAACGATTCACCTAATGACCATGGGGATTTGCTTAATGACCTCTGCAAACAAGGTAATAATTAAAAAAACAAAAATCAGGTCAGTTACAACTTATGACCGTAATAGGCAAATCCTTTAAGGTCGTAAGTCGAGGACTAACTGTAGTATAAACGCAGGACTGGGAGACGTGCAGAGTGACCAGATCATCTCCAAAGCTGGGTGATCTACTAACCTGATGATGTCTGTGTATTCTTGATCCTTCCCTTTGCTCTCTTTCCACTTTCGGTACATCACCGAAGCGTCAACGTTTGCAGGAGAGAAAGTGTTTGGTTCATTCAGGAGTGAGATGACACTAAGAAGAATTGTTCTGATATGGGAAAACATTTAAAAAAAAAATAGTGTATTAAAATAATGCAGCTTAATTTAAGCATAGGTACCTGTGTTTCCCCAAAAATAAGATTGGGTCTTATATTAATTTTTGCTCCAAAAGACGCATTAAGGGCTTATTTTCCAGTTAGGTCTTATTTTTGGGAAAATACGGTACTAAACGCGTCCGTTTGGCTGACGATCTTAACTGGGGTTTATTTTTGGGGTTGGGGCTTATATTATGAGCATTCAGAAAAAAAATCATGTTAGGGCTTATTTTCCGGCTGGGTCTTATTTTTGGGGAAACACAGTAGCCATTGATTTAAGACTGATCGCTTACTGTATTTTTCGGAGTATAAGACACACCTTTCCCCCACCCAAAAGAGGCTGAAAATTTGGGTGCGTCTTATACTCCGAATGTAGCTTTTTTGAAGCTTTTTTTCAGCCCTAACGAGGCACTAGCGAGCGCTTTAACGAGGCGCTAGTGAGTGAAGCGATCTCCATGCTTTGCTCCGACTCTCAGCTGTTCTTTAGAAGCTTTTTTTCAGCCCTAACTCGGCGCTAGCCGAGTGAAGCAATCTCCTCCCATGCTTTGCTGCTTTTCTCATTGCTGCTTCTTCTCAGTTGTGCCTTAGAAGCTCTTTTTTATCCCCAAGCAGGGAATAAAAAACTAGCAAACTAATGTGCTGAAGCTGACCAGACTAAGGATGCTAGCTAAGGATGCTAGCCGTACCTGGTAGGCAGATTTTTTCCCCCTATTTTCCTCCCCAAAAACTAAGCTGCATCTTATACTCCGGTATGTCTTATACTCCCATACCGTATAAAAATACGCTAGTTTGTCCATTCCATTCCATTCCCATTCTATTCTAAATGTAGCTAAGAGGGAAGGAACGAAAACTCACCTTACATTCTGCGTAGGGTTCCACCTTTCCGATGGTAACTCTCCGCTCTGTGGGTCATCCACTGGAGGATGTAGAATTGAAATGCAAACATCTCCTGTCTGGAATGTATAAATTATGTGTCTGCTACGCACGCTTGTTCTCGCACGCACAAGCTGAGTTCACACAACGTTAGCTCAAAATCCAGATGATTTACCTCATGGGTAAACAAAGGATATATTCACCAAACATACAGGGGTCAAAGAGCCATACAATGGCTTAAGGAAGAAGTGAGGAACTATGGCCCCTTTTATGACTGGTGGACTTCAACTCCCAGAATTCTTTAGCCAGCATGGCTGCCTCACCTCTGGCTTAAGGAGATATCAGAGTTATGACCGACCTAAAAAAGACAACCTATGACCCAGATTTGGGGTACCGGCAGACAGGACTAGAGTTGACATGATAGTAGTTTTCCGATATCTCAGGGGCTGCCACAAAGAAAAGGGAGTCAAGCTATTCTCCAATGCACCTGAGGGCAGGACAAGAAGCAACGGGTGGAAACTAATCAAGGAGAGAAGCAACCTAGAACTAAGGAGAAATTTCCTGACAGAACAATTAATCAGTGGAACAACTTGCCTCCAGAAGTTGTGAATGCTCCAACACTGGAAGTTTTAAAGAAGATGTTGGACAACCATTTGTCTGAAATGGTGTAGGGTTTCCTATCTAAGCAGGGGGTTGGACTAGAAGACCTCCAAGGTCCCTTCCAACTCTGTTATTCTGTTATTTTAGTCCAATACACTAATCAAGCAGGAAACCCTGTACCATTCTGGACAAATGGCTTCTCTTAAGAAGCTCCAGTGATGAAGCACCCACAACTTCTGAAGTCAAGCCATTCTACTGATTCATTGTTCTCCCTGTCAGGAAATTTCTTCTTATTTCTAGGTTGCTTCTCTCTTTGATTAGTTTCCACCCATTGCTTCTTGTCCTGCCTTCAGGTGCTTTGGAGAATAGCTTCACTCCCTCTTATCTGTGGCAACCCCTGAGATATTGGAAGACTCCTATCGTGTCACGCCTAGTCCTTCTTTTCATTAAACTAGACAGACCCAATTCCAGCAACTGTTCTTTGTATGCTTTAGCCTCCAGGCCCCTAATCATCTTAGTTGGTCTTCCCCAGGGGTGAAATGCTACCGGTTCGAGCTGGTTCGCCCGAACTGGTAGTAAAAAATGCAAAAAAAAAAAAAAAAAAGTTCCGACGATCAGCTGAGCGACACGCGAGAAAATTATAATGTATTCTAATGCCTTTACCAGAAAATAAAAGGCTGAGCCAAAACAAGGAAACTGGGATGATTTTTGGAAACTGCTCCAATCTGCAAAAAAGTTCGCATCCCTTCACGTAGTCATCTGGAAGATGGCTGCTACCAATATTCTGAGGTAAATTTTAGGATGCTCTGTTACTTCAATGTATGCCAGTAGTCCTCGACTTACAACAGTTCATTTAGTGACCGTTTGAAGTTAAAACATCTCAGAAGACAAGGAATCTCATGAAATTCTCAACCCATGGAAGGTGTAGAAGAAAGAGCATTAAAACAGACTATAGAAAAAGTAAACACACCGCAATATAAGGCTTGTGACTAAGCTACATTAGGCATTTATGGTTGTCCACTGCCTAAGAGTATTAATGAGAAAATTAATGTATATAAATTTTTAAAAAATGGAGAGTCTAAAATACATCTTTGTTTTGCCCCTTTATATGTCTGAATGGAGTCAGAAAGATCACCTCCCTTGTTACGTCCCACTCCTAAGTCGCTTTTTACCCTATACATTTATGAATTAACAACGTTCTACTCAAATTGTCCCTTAACTTACCTACAGATGTTACTAAACATGGTTTTAAAACCAGAAAAGGCTGGGCATATAGTCAGATAATAATTATTTGTATAGTCATCCTCCAGTGGCACAGCGACTCAGCGGTTAAGATGCTGGGCTTCTCAGTTGGAAAGTCGGCAGCCCAGATTCAAGACCTGAGCCCACAAAACAGGGTGAGCTCCCATCCTTGCTTCAGCTCATGCCAACCTAGCAGTTCGAAAGCATGTAAGTGCGAGTAGATAAATAGATACCACTTCGGTGCCGAAAAGATTCGCCATCACTGGCCTAGCATATTATCAGCCAGGGCATAGAAACAGTGAGCGGTGAAGTGGTGTGAAAGTCTTACACTTAGGCAAGAAAAACCAAAAGTATACATATAACCTGGATGAAACCAGGCTTAATAGCTGTAACTGTGAGAGGGATCTTTGAGTCTTAGTGGACAACCAATTAAATATGAGCCAGCAGTGTGTGGCGGCAGCCAAAAAAGCCAATTCAACCCTAAGTTGCATTAACAAAGGGATGCAATCAAGATCAAGGGAGATACTAATACCACTATATAAAGCCTTAGTAAGACCACTCCTAGAATACTGCATCCAGTTTTGGTCACCACACTATAAAAAAGACGTTGAGACTGTAGGAAAAAGTGCAGAGATGAGCAAGCCAGATGATTAGGGGACTGGAACCTAAAACATACAATGAACGGTTGCAGAAACTGGGCATGGCTAGTCTAGTGAAGAGAAGGACCAGGGGAGACATGATAGCAGTCTTCCAATATTTGAGGGGCTGCCACAGAGAGGAGGGTGGGTCAAGCTATTTTCCAAGGCACCCGAAGGCCAGACAAGGAATAATGGATGGAAACTGATCAAGGAGAGATTTAACCTGGAAATAAGGAGAAATTTTCTGACAGTGAGAACGATCAATCCATGGAACAGAAGTTGCCTTCAGAAGTTGTGGGAGTTTCATCACTGGAGGCTTTCAAGAAGAGATTAGACTGCCACTTGTCAGAAATGGTGTAGGGTCTCCTGCTTGGGCAGGGGATTGGACTAGATGACCTACGAGGTCCCTTCCAACTCTGTTTATCTGTATATCTGTCGTAGTGGGAGTAGAAAGACCCAGGTCCATACTCAACCACACAAGTTAGTTATCTGTGAATTTTTCTGCCCCATTTCCTTTCCTTGCTTGTACATCCATTCCAGGCCATAATTTCCATCCAAACCAATGGGTGTTAAAGCCATTTTGCACACCTTCGAATTGACAATGGAAATTCCTTAAGCCCTCTGAAAGGTGTGGAAAAATATGGAAAGCCATCAGCAAGATGTGTGCATATGTGCGGGAGTGCAAGACACTTTAGCTTCCTATCAAAATGCTGAGCCTTATGAAAGTTCATTGTTGCGCTAGTAAAAATAAATCTCACGATCAGCGTCTTCCCGCTTTATTTTGGGGTTTTAAGGATCTGATCGGACATAACTTGCCAGTTATAAGCAGGATGCGGTCTTCAGTAAACGGCAATATGAAGTCATCATTTAGTGGTTTGCTCAGAAACTCTGAAATATTGCTTTTTGCAGGAAATACCGTTTCCAAACAATTTCATTTCGGGATAAGTTTGTTTACGTGCAATAAAAACACTGGAAATGCCAAATAATAAAACAGAGTTTAGGCAGGCAGGCAAACAAGAGAAAATCAGCAAAGGTCTTGAAGACAACACTGGATTTCCCCTTTCTCAAACATTTGCATTTCGCAAACAGATGGGATTCCCACAAGCAATTTGAGAGATGACACATAACCCAGCTTCTCAAAGATAAGGCAAAAGAGAAAAATTATGTGGAAGCCAGTAAGATAAAGCAGAACTTGGAATCCAGGAGCCATTCCCTATGGCTGACTCAAAGGGTTGTCCACTCATCTTTAGGTAAGCAGAAAACTAGACCAGGATCCATTTGGCCCATTCCTAAATGCTTTTTCTGCCTTTATTGCTTGTTTCCATCTCCCGATTTCCCTCAAAGGATATGGGGGATGAAGCTTAAGAGGTTTGAGAGCATTGGTGAAATTCAATTTTTTTTACTACCGGTTCTGTAGGCGTGGCTTGGTGGGCGTGGTGTAGCTCGGTGGGTGTGGCTCGGTGGGCGTGGCAGGGGAAGGATACTGCAAAATCTCCATTCCATTAAGAGCCGAGGTGGCGCAGTGGTTAGAGTGCAGTACTGCAGCTACTTCAGCTGACTGCTAGTTCAGCAGATCAGGGGATCAAATCTCACCGGCTCAAGGTTGACTCAGCCTTCCATCCTTCCGAGGTGGATAAAATGAGGACCCAGATTGTTGGGGGCAATATGCTATTTAGTATACTGTCTTTGGTGTAAGCCGCCCAGAGTCCTCGGAGAGTGGGCGGCATAGAAATATGACTAATAAATAAATAAATAAATTCCCACCCCACTCCAGGGAAAGGATGCTGCAAAATCCCCATTCCCTCCCCACTCCTGGGGGAAGGATATTGCAAAATCTCCATTCCCACCCCACTCTGGGACCAGCCAGAGGTGCTATTTGCTGGTTCTCCGAACTACTCAAAATTTCCACTACCGGTTCTCCAGAACCTGTCAGAACCTGCTGGATTTCACCCCTTTTTGAGACCCCTTCAAGCAACTCTTGGTCAATGGGGATCCAAAAGAAAGACTGGATATCTTCTAGTGCTGGCACAACTAAAGATGATTTAGAACATAGAATAATAGGTTGGAAGGGACCTTGGAGGTCTTCTAGTCCAGCCCCCTGTTCGAACAGGAGACCTTATTCCATTCTAGACTGTCCAATCTCTTCTTAAAAACCTCCAGTGATGGAGCACCACAACTTTTAAGGCAAGCTGATTCATTGTTCTCATTATCAGAAAATTTCTCCTTATTTTTAGGCTGGATATCTGTTTAATGAGTTTCCACCCCTTCATTTTTGTCCCGCCCTCAGGTGCTTTGAAGAATAGGGTGACACACACACACACCTGCCTTCTCTGTGACAACCTCTCAAATATTGGAAGACTGCTATCACGTCGCCCCTAGTCCTTCTCTTCGTTAGACTAGACATACCTAGTTCCCTCAATTGTTCACCGTATGATTTAGCCTCAGGGTGGATAAAAATCAATGATTTTTTTAAAAAAATCAAAAAAATCAGATTTTTTTTATTTAAATTGGATTTTTTTTATTTAAATTGGATTTTTTTTATTTTTATTGAATTTATTTTAATAAAAAACTTTTGGGGTAAAAATCTATCGTAAGATAGTTTTCTATTTAAGATACATAAATAATTTAGTTTATTCAGCATGAAATGGAGCTTA